TTTGTTAAATGTAAACAATGTTTGGAAATCCCAGGCAAGATGATCTCAATAAAAATCGAAACGTTGGCACGATAAAGAAAATGTTTTTCTGAAACCTACATCACACCATACCGCATCTCACGATTTCTAAATAAATATCGATTAACGGTCACTAATCACCACACATTGTACGAAATGAAGACTACAATTATGAGTGTTTAATTTTGAATAAAGTCGAAATAAAGCGAATTTTAAATTGTTCAACTAGATAATCTACGGAAGGCGTACGGTAACCTTAAAATATGAAAGATAATGCATAATCCTTTTTCGAACTTTAACACTTTTTAAGGGGGGAATATTTAGCCACGGAGGCAAGGATATTTACCTTCTACGAGAAAATTTACTGTAAAACCTTAGATAGGATTTATTATCAGGTTGTCACGACTGCCGTGGGGCTTTTAGAACGTTTAGACAACTTTTTCCATGATGCCCGGCTTCCTGCCACCGCTCGTCCTTTTCAGTGATGGTGCATTCTTTAGATTTATAGCGTAGCAGTGATCTACTCTTCCATCAGTTACTTTCTTCTGATTGTTGTTGAAGAACACAACAATGTGGGACAAGGTCTTGGGAATTCGAGGCATTGAAATGTTGAGATAGAAAGGTGGAGTAGGGCTTTCAGAAATTGGATATTCAATTGTAGCCCGCTCAGCTATAATTATCGATTTGGCTTTGTAAGATTAAGACCATTGTGATGCTCAATCTGGAATCTTATAAACTTTTGCAAGTCAAAGAGAGGGAAAGTATAATTTGGTCATTATTTTTCTAAAAACGTTAGTAATCTCTGAAACTAATTTATAAACAACACCGATAAAATTATGAACTAATTCAAGTTCAAATACAATCAATTAAGAAGATTAAAAACAAATTAAATTCTAAAACATATACTTAATATCCCATTTCCTCGATAACATAATTTAAAAATAAAATAGTTTGATAGTAAATTCTTTATCATAAAAGTTCAGGAACTTAACGGATGAACTTTATATTATTTAGAACAAATAGAAGCTATGTTATACAGTGGGTAGAGATTAGTGACCGTTAATCAATAGTTATTCAGATATCGTGAGATGCGGTCGGGGGTGATGTAGGTTTCAGAAAAATATTTTCTTTATCGTGCGAACGTTTCGATCTTTTATTGAGATCATCTTCAGGGCCTGGGATTTACAAACAATGTTTNTTATTAGTAATAGTGGAATGTGTTAGTGTTGAGTTGTAGTTGTTGATTATTCTGTTAATTATGTGCTTAGGGTAGAGATTGTGATGGAATCCATTATTTTTACTTTTTTTCCATAATGAACGCCAGAACCGGGTCGGTACAAATCTGCATCTTTCCATCGCTTCATCAATTAGTCTCACCCAAGTGATATTATAATGTGAACCAAGCGTTTTCCTCATTTTGAATAATTTATGTTGGGCTACTTTCCGTCTTGTTCTCCCTGGAAAAGGGTTGTAAACTATCGAATGCTCAAACTCATTTGAATTGGCTCAGGTGAGTAATGGGTTCTTTATTTTGGGTTTTCTTCAATACACGAAGGCGTACGCTTTTGTTTTTTAGTACTTTTAAATAAACTATTATCCATATAGATTTGGACAACTGTATCTTCTCATTCAATTTTTTTTACAAAGAAGCACTCGTTTTCTATAAGCCAATCACGACTAAGGGCTCCGAAACAATGCTTTTTTTAATTTTAAAGCTAAAGTAAGCGTGTTTCATTTTTTAAATTATTATTAATAAATATGAATTTATATCAATCACAAATTTTTCTACTTAAGGGTAAAAATGGTTAAAATGGAGCTTAAAAATATTGCTGTTTTAAATCCATGAATGTTCTTGCTTCATTTCACCTGCCTTCCTTCTTTCAAGTGATTTACTAAAAGCCAAAACTTTGAAATTGAAATGAGGTTTGAAAATTGACCAAAAATCGTGTCACCAGTGCCTATGAGGTGTTAACACGTTTATTTCGCCATGTTAACACTGAAAAACCATTTTAAAAAGTGTTGTTTTATCTCGCAAAAAAAGGTTATTATATAAAAAAATATATCTCGGCAACGGATTAGAATAAAAACTTGTAGTTGGTTTCATTCTACCGAAAATTTAATGCTCAAATAGATTTTTTTGATACGTATTTTGGGACATGGAGCCGTTTGGGAGTAATTCTTGAAAAAAAGCTTTAAAAAACACGGTTTGTAGACGTTTTTAGGTTTTCTGTCATAGAAGGCTTCATTTGAGGACCTATGTTTGTAGGAACTTGTTGTACTGCATGAAATTTCCTATAAATCCTCAAAATACATTACTTCCTTTGGGCCCACCCCGTGTTTGTTTTTCCCACACACACAACTTCGAGGTGTGAATTTAGTAGTCAGAGTTCCGCGAAGTTATCAGATGTATAACAAATAACGAACATATTGACATGTATAAAGTTTGGAAACTCAACAATCATGTCTGTTTCAAAAGATTACGCTGAAATTATTTTTTCAATTATTTTTATCAGAGAACTCTCCCACCTGGAAAAAATGGTATTCACAAAGCACCTGATACTGTATGAAATTCAGTTGTTCCTCCCTTTCTTTTTTTTTCTTTAAAGGCTCGAACATAAAAGCTTAATTTAATTTTTTTATGCTTAAGAGCTTTCCCGTGTTTTTCTCTCCTCAGAAGGCTGTCAACAAAAGCTTAGGAAACTTAGTAGCTATTAAAAAGGGTGAGATGGAAAGAAAGATAGGAACGATCTACAAAAGGCCAGTTGTAAATTTACCAAGGGATGTTTTAGGGTAACTTCCGGTAGTTAATTCTAGCAGATCCCCCTCGCCCTAAGAGCCATTTCCTGGCCCACTAAACGAGATGGACAATAACAAAGACGAGACGCGAGAATGTGCTGACCGTCTCGGCCGACTTTTGCCGAACGAGCCGTTCCAGTTTCACCCAACTGGGGCATAACTTAGAACTCACTCCAGCCGAGGATGCTTTATAATTCTTTTGCTATACCCCACCTTTTTCTCTCTTTCTTCTCTTATTCGAATAGAGTCGGATATAAATCAAAGCACGGACCAGTGACCAATAAATGCAATATTACTCTTCTTTTGGGACATAAACAAGTTTGAAATATAGCCTTGGAGCCCAATATTTTATTGTAGACTTCCTCTTCCGACTCTTCTACTTACCCGTGGAAATGTATATTTTAGGCTCCTTGCCATCTCTCTATAATATTTCCTCTTCGGTTAGTTTTGGTATATCAAATTGGACTATCAGACATAATTAAGGCATAAATTGATGATTTAATGTAAATAATGAATTGCCCAGTGTACAATAGAATTATTTATACATTAATAATTAAACAATTACTATTCATTAATGGCCCAAGATGAAATTCAAATGTCAATAAATCACATTCTACCGGTGGAATTTTGTTTAGGCTGAACCGAATTGTGATTGGTGTGACTGGACGGCCCGGCCCATTTATCACATCCGTGACATTCATTCAATTATAATGAACGCCCAGAGTTTGTCTTAGTTTAAAGAGACTAACCTAACCCAAGCTCGTAGTAAATGAATCTGAATCATACATATTTCATGGATATAGTTTTCAAAATAATACACATAAAAAAATGGATATGGAATGATTTTTGATACTTGGACATTGTGATTCAGTCTACTTATTCCCTATATGCTTTAACATAGCACTGCAATAGATATAGAGATATAATTGATATCCATTTTCAATTTTGTAATTACATATTAAAAGGAGTAGGGTTACACTGACAACTCCTTTATCAAGTTATCAAGGAGTACAACAGGAAGGCTTTGAAACTATTATTAATAATTTATTAGAGTTACAAAATTATATGAACATCTTCGTACCATATGGAAATACATCGTGTCAAATAAAATGAAATTGGAGATTTACAATCCTGCGGTTCTATATCGGAATTGCAACCTTGTAAGTGTTGATACTTGATACTTAATTAATTAGATTTAATTAATATTTTGATATACAATGGACGTGTAGATCTCGTCTCTCTATTCTCTTTGGGACTGATTCTATTTAACGAACAAAAAATGTAATTTTCATTTGAATATTAAAGTACAGATTAGGACTTCCACATTCTGGTAACTTCATTTCTACTGATTATTTTATGAATTAGGGATGTAGTGCGAAAAAAGTTTGCTGTTCTTTATTATGTTTGTCATATTGTAAGCTTCGGGTTTTTTATTAGGCCTTCTTTGTGATCTACAGAACGATAAATATATTTATTCCAATCGATATGGTTTTAATTAAATAAAAATATTTTTTTCTTTATAATGAATAACTAATGTATAGTCACCTACAAAATTCCATACCATATCAATTTAAGGAAGTATTTCTCACATTAAATTTGTTAGTAATGCTTCTAAGGAATTAAAAACATCTTATTGGAATCAAAAGTGCTAATGTAAACTTAGGGGATATGTTTAACCATAAAATAGGAAAGAATTTTTTTACCAAATTCAAAAGTAAATCTCCGCTTTTAAGGATGTAAAATGTGGCCTAATAATATTGCGATTCTGTGATTTTACTCGATAACTGCTTGTTGAATTTTAAAATTCGTTATTCATCAAAGAGTTATAAACCGACCTTTTGCGGACTATTTAATTAATTATTCAGTTTAACTATTTATTTCGTTATCTATCTGACAGATCCAAACCCTATACCCTTCCAGCCAACTTTCCTTTCTGCAGATATATTTAATGACGGCTCACATAATGCTTCTGACATCCGTTAAACAACTCGCATATCACTCAACGAAACTCCGCAATTTCCAATGTATCTTGATGTTTTTGAGTTAAAACATTGTATGAGTGAGAACCGATCGGCTCAGTGAACCATGGCATTTTATAATCCTATGAAATATGTATCATATTTTCCACGGTTGAATGAATTCGATGTAAAGCATTATTACAATTCAATTTTTTTTCTCTTTTTTAGTCGGCCCGGTAATTAAATCGGTGGGACCGGACAAAGTTATAACAGCTTCACTTTTCAACGAAGCGTCCTTTGACTGCGAAGCCGAGGCGAGCCCGACTCCAAGTTACCAGTGGCTTCAGAGAATCCAGGGAATGGAATCTGCAGTGCTGGTACGCAGCAATGACGCCAGGCTTCACATCAGGAACGTCAGCTACCACCATCAGGGTGAATATATCTGCAGGGTGTGGAACTACATAGGCGGATCTGAACGATCCGTTCAGAGCGACCCGGTTTCCCTCCAAGTTGTCGGTAAGAAATTTCGTTTTTTTAACTAGCAGTTCTCTTCTATTGTCTTATTACTATCCTATAATTTCTATATACGTTTCCTAAATGTTTTGTGTAAATTTGTTACAAATAATTCGTTAGTATCCAGCAGTTTTTTATAAATTTAAACATTTTAAAAACCCTTTTCGTTGTTTCAGTAAAGGTATATAAACCATTATTGTTATATAAATATAATTTATAGTATATATTATAATAATGTAATTATTGTTGTTAAACATAATCAACAAATGCATTGCGTGAGCCAGCACGACAGGCAGGTCTTGCCAGTTTAGCATTCGTAACGCCGTGTTAATTCTGAAAACGTCAAGTTTCTCAGCATTGACTAATTAATTATTATGACTAATATTTTAACTAATCTTGTAACTTAACAAAAATATTTTAGTGTAGTTGGTTTCACATTAATTTTATTTTTGGATAATATTTAGTGACCGTTAATTAATGATTATTTAAAGATCGTGGGTTGGTTTGAAGTAGGTTAGAAAAATATTTTCTTTATCGTGCCAATGTTTCGATTTTTATTGAAATCATCTTCAGGATCTAGGATTTATAAACATTGTTTTCACTGAAGATGATCTCAATAAAAGATCGAAACGTTGGCACGATAAAGAAAATGTTTTTTTAAACCTACATCAAACCAGACCGCATCTCACTATGTTTAAATAAGTATACATTTTATCGTTATATTTTTTAATTGACATTTACAAGTTAATAGAAAAGGCCATCGTAGTATAAAATAAAACTTAGTTAAAAGGAAATTGTTATTCTACTGACTAGCTACTGATAAAGTAGCAAATGGAAACGGGGCCGACTGAATTAAACCTAGTTAGAAGTCCCTTACCGAAGCAGACTTGCCTTTTACTTTCAGTGCAAAAAATTAACTCTAATTTCAGTAAATAACACTAGTTGAAGTCCCAACAGTCTACTCTCAATTTAGAGTTTTTTAATAAAATTGTTTCACTGAGTACTTGTGAAGTATATTAAATTCATACTACAGTATACAAAAATATTCTGAATTCCAAACTGTTGAAAAAACTTAATGAAGCTCTATCCGGCAACCCATTATTAGATTGAATCAGTGGCCGTATGAAAAGAAAGACGTTGTTTAAAAAGAAAAGTTCTTTCAGCGCCATCTGTCTAATGGTAAAGTGGCAAATAAAAACAGGGACAGTTGAAATAATTTGGTTATAAGTCCATCAACGGCTACCGGAAAAGGGAGTATTGAATCGATCGCCGAGTTTTTCATAAGAAGATTAGAAGGTTTCTTTTTATATTGAAGAATATTTGACAAAAAATTGGGAGACATTTATTGAATTCATAATAAAAATATTACACAAATTGAACGGTAAAATTCTTTCCATACCAAAAATTGTTAACTTCTTTGATATATTTTAATAACAAAAACAAACAGAAAAAGTTAAGTTATTTATCTCGATATAATTGAAATCAGCGTTCAATATCATAATTTTGCAGTTAAAGAAAAGGAATAAAGAAAACATTTGAAACAAAAAAACATTCTGTTCGTCAAGCATTCGAGTAATATGTTCTTTTCATCATGACATTGAAACTACAATATTAACAAACAGGGATATCTACTCAAAATATTGGAACTCATAGTTTCAAACATAACCAATTTATGGGTTGACGGAGGAAGGAGATCTTCAACTCGTCCGCTCTATCGCAATCGTAACTTTATTGGTAGTACTTAATTAACCAATTATACTTAATTCATTTGCCGATATAGAAAGAACGGGTAGTAGATCTCATTCCACTATCAATTCACAAATTCACTGTTTCAGTATTGTAAGAAAGTGTTCATATTTGATAACTTTGTGAATTATTCATACAATTTTGATATCCTGAGATAAATTCTTCAAATTGTAAATAAAAGAAGAAAATTCACCAAAACACTGGAAAATTATGTGGTATTTGATTAAAATTCAACTAAATATTTATTCTATCACCAATTTTCCAGTGTTCTGTTGAATTTTCTTTCAAACCATCATAATAAAAATCTTTTTATTAAAACTCTTAAATTTGTAAACTCTTAATTTAGTATACTTTAAAATAAGTGTGTAAGTAATAAGTGTATAATTATTATAATGATAAAAATAGGTATAAGTTGAAATAAATAACAAAAAACGAGTGTCGGTTTTTGTCATTGAGTGTATATTTTCTGTTGAAAGAAACCTAACAAACGTGACATTTTTTTAAAATTAGCTTTAGGAAAATTTGCCGTTCAACACATTTTTTAAATTCAATATACAATGTTTTAATGCGTTTTAAAAGTTGTTCAGTTACCTGTTTCGCTTTTCAAGTTTATGAATGGTCCAGAATACCAAGAGACGAAAAGAAAAATCTTCAATAGAAGCAATTTTTTATCAACGCAATGACACAATATAACTGCACTCTTTCTTTTTCTTAGCCCGAACTTCCTTTCCTCTCGTCTCTAGCCCAACTCAAACTCTGTCAAAATAAAATTATCCAATATTTCACCGTCTACGTGCACTTCTGGGAACTCGGATAAACCCTACTCAAGAAGATTATATCACAACAGAATGACAATAGCGTATTTTTATAACCTATCGCAAACTAGAAACTTGTTTTTAACTGTTTTTTTAGGAATATGTCAGGTAAACGCGTCTCTGAACGTTTAAAATATTAATTATACTTTTTATGGAAGGTCTCGGTTTTAAAATAAATTTAAAAATCTGAATTATTGCTGTAGAAAAATTTGTAGATTGTTAATCAACTCTTCTTTAAATACTTCCATATATTTGATTTTCATAACAAAAACAAAAAACTCAAATTACTTGTTTGCTTATCTTTCTGCCTTAAATCTAATTCTGTACATTCATATTAAACGGATACAAACTAGATTATCGTTACTATTGACAGTTTCAACTGATCAACACTTGTTCACTTGGCTGGATCGTATCGCTCGTTTACGTTTCCCAAAAACCTATTTCAGCTTCTCACTATCATTAATAAAAATCAGACTGACAAAGTGATCAGGGGCCGGTCATTTCAAAGGTTTGAGGAAATTATCCAAAATACATCAAATGAAGTACCAAATAAATAAATTTGTATATTTGAATGTATTTTCTAATAGCGTATGTTGTAAAAGATGGTGTTTTTTTTTTTTTTAAATTACGTTATTGACTCACAAATTTTAATCAATTACCAAACTTTCGGCCCATGTTTGACCTTCATGCTAGTCTATTTAATGTTTCCGGTAGCCGTTGATGGACTTATAACCAAATTATTTCAACTGTTCCTGTTTGTATTTGCCACTTTACCATTAGACAGATGGCGCTGAAAGAACTTTTCTTTTTGTGAATAACTTCTTTCTTTTCATGCAGCCACCGATTCCATCTAATATTGGGTCGCTGGTCACTGCTTCATTATGTTTTTTTCAACAGTTATGAATTCAGGAAACTTCTGTATACTACAGTATGTATTTAATGTACTTTACTAAGTACTCAGTGAAACAATAAAAGTAAAACGCTCTAAATTGAGAGTGGACTGTTACGACATCACCTAATATTATTTACTAAAATTAGGGTTAATTTTTTGCACTGAAATTAGAAATCAAATTAACACGAGTATCCGGTGTGAGTATATAATTTAAAAAAAATTTATATCCATTCCTGCAATCCTAAGGAAACTCGTTCGGATATTTATGGTTGAGAGACGCATTGAAAAGTATAAGCTAAATTCATATATTGCTGAATTGATATACATATTAATACATTTTTTTTTCAAATAATTTATCTACTTTCAATTATTTGATTTGAAACCGTGTACAGCACTGGGACATTGTTCCCTTTCATTAAATTTTAAATAACGAACTTAAAAACCTTAATATAAATTAATAATTATAATTAAATAATTTAAATAAAGATAATAAACGAAATAGTAAATTAAAATAAAAAAATAAAATTCATACTACAACAATAATTGTTTACTTCTTCTATTTAACTCTTAGGTAATAAATTTCTAATAATCTAATTTCAACAATTCATTGCATGAACGACTCATAACAATAGAAAATATTGTAATAAAATCATTTTAACCGGTTATTTGTAGAACGTCAATTGTATTATTTTGTCACTTCGTGTTACAGCAATTAACAATATTAATTCCATGTTGCAGTGTAGCAGATTTTCAAAGCTAGCCAACTTTCAGAACCCCTCCTTTCGTAATTCATGTCCAGTTTATCCGTTATATGCTGTGCGGGAATTATAATTTATTGCAAAGCTTGTTAGTCATTTCAGATGCTGTTTATAAACGAATCATTTATATTTTAAAACAACCTTTGAGTGGATTATTAGTTATGATTTTTGTTAAATAAAAACATGGGTTGACAAATTTATTTATTTGTTTATGGGGGACAACAAAAAGACCGATAATTCTCCGAGGAAAGTTAGATGACCACACCTAAACCTAGAACCTGGTGGAGAATAAAATTAGCAACATACACATAGATCCGTCAGCAATGGGTTAAGAGACCTCGTTTCAATGGGATTGTATTTCAAGACAGTGGTATGCGAAAATTTATGAAAAAACTATTTAAGGAACTAAAGGCAAAAATACAAAACCATATGTGATAGGACTAGCATGATAACAGATGGACTGACTGGCAAACCCCGGAGGCACATGCTGGAAGTAGTAAAAAAAGCCTTGCAGATATTAGCACATCACATCCAGCCTCTATTGGGGGAAGGCCAATGCAAGCTAATAATCCTGTGGAAGGAAACGCAAAGAATATACACAACATGTGTGGTGATTAGTGACAGTTAGTCGATGATTATTCAGAAATAGTGAGATGCGGTCTGGTGTGATGTAAGTTTCAGAAAAACATTTTCTTTACCGTGCCAACAATCTTTATTGAGATCATCTTCAGGGCCTGGGATTTACAAACATTGTTTACATTTAAATTTGTTAAATTTAAACAATGTTTGTAAATCCCAGGCCCTGAAGATGATCTCAGTAAAGATAGAAACATTGGCACGATGAAGAAAATGTTTTTCTGAAACCTACATCACACCAGACCGCATCTCACGATTTCTGAATAATCAATATACACAACTTTGGATTCTGATAAAAACCTTAACCTAGAGCTCTAGATAATAATGGATATTTTACAATAGATCTTCTTTTTTTTTAAGCACTTATTTCTTTTTAGATAGATCTTTTAAAGCACAGCAGTTTTTGTTAAGGCTGAACCTTCAAAATTAAGAAACAAACAGTTGATCTCAACAGTGACTGCTTGATCCCATACTATTGCGTTTCCAGGTGCGCCGCAGGTTCTGAGGGGGAATAGTGGGGCTGAAGTAGTAGCCCTACGAGGAGCCGATGCAGTTCTTGGGCTAGTCGTCTGTGCAGACCCAAGACCACAAACGGCGTCTTGGGAATGGGGAAGCCTTCATCTTCAAGTAGGCGAAGGCCTAGGAAGATACCATGCTGAAAAACTCGTCCAGGTGAGAAAAACAAAGAAAAAAGCTACATAAGTTTTTTCCATATGAAGTACATTTTGTAGATTATTATGTAAATGAATTAGTCTTTTTTGTTTTTATTATTTTTTGTTAATTTCATTTTAATGGCACCTTGTTTCAAGTAACATTTTTTCACAAAAGCAAATTGAAATGTAAAATAAAGAAAAAAGAGAAAAGATAAAAATAAACTCTATTTAAATGCTAATTTTTTAAAAAGGCAATAAACAGTGGTTTAAAAACGATTTTATAATCTACATATCCATTTACAGAGAAATGTTCATTTGATTGGAAAGAAGTATTAAAATTAAAACGATGGTCTATTTAGATTTATAGCATCGCGGACTTAATAGGAAAAACAAAGCTTAGTTGCTTGTTTTCCGTTCCAAGAGGTACTTAAATTTGGAATAAAATAAATAAATTATAAAACAAAAAGAAAAAACAAGTTGGTTCCGGGTTAGTTGCAGTTTAATCTCCAGTATAATGCAGGACCGAGAAGCTTTTTCCATTTGGCACAGATCCAACTTAACTTACAATGTAAATGTCAACCACTGGGGCCAATAACCACTCCAGCCGGCTGTGGGCTTATTTTTTCTATGTTGTTACAGGAGACGAGAGAAGACTGCTACGAGGCTAGATTACACGTCAGGGAGGTGGACCCGACAGATTCCAGGACGTACTTCCTAACAGTCGAAAACGAGAGGGGTACCGACAAACACTACCTAAGACTGGCCGTTCGCGGTTCGTATACCAATGGCAAGTCTCAAATCACTTAATCACTACACTAACTAAAATTTACAACTCTCCATATTTCCGAAGTGCCACTTTTAAAGTATGAAATCGAGTTTTTCTACAAACAAATGTAAATCTTGCATATTTATCATTATAAAAGTAATTCATAATAATACTTTATAATATGACAGATATTTTGAAAGTATTAATAATTATCATTTCGACGTCCACCGCAATGGTAGTTTATAAAATGCACTGATTTTGAAAACTTGATTGGCGCATTATTAAAATTTAAAAATTTAGAACAAGAATAAAAAATTACCGTGGCCAGGAGCGATGAGGTAATATGGAGGGCGTAGTGTAGATGCTTGAATACTAACAGCACCGTCACTGGTGAATTACCTTAAAAAAATATACTTGTAATTGTAAGTGCAAAAAACAAACTGCATTTGAATGCATAGAATAGCAGCACCCTAGTATATTATTTGGAAAGGCTTAGCCGGAGAGGACGTATAAACTCCCGTTGCATTCACACGCGTTTTTGGTGAAGGGAGCATGGTAGCCTCTAACCCTGCTCTTGGGTGGGACTGCTGGTGGATTAGAGCCTGTATGGGCCGATCTGTATGCAGCCGGCGGTTTTCTCAGGAAATAGAGTTCTCAGAAACCTAGACGATTGTCGGCCCCATCCACCCGCACCCTTGGGCTATTCTATCCACACATTCAGACCGACAGCGTCGTATCATATTTTATTACCGGCTAACCTCTTAGCGACATAATTCAGTGCGTTATAAAGTAAACGTACCGATATTTTCCGCTTATATTATATGAAATCGTTTATAAATCTATCCGAACTTTATGAACTAACTACATAAATCGCCTTGCTTAGTCCAAAACCTTTTGGAACTTTGTGAATAAGTTTACATATATCACATATGGTATGTGTTTTTTAAATAATTTCGAAAAACCTTTGAAAAGTACAAATTCTCTCAGGCTAAAAGTTTGTACATAGTCAGTACAATATTATATAAAACACCGTTATATTTAGTTGTCTATTTACCAAATTACTTCTTTCAATTAATTGATCTGCTCGTGGCACTAGCTTTTTCATTTCAACCAAAACATAAGAAGATTAATTATATACAACATTTCAGTAATACTAATGCACTTTTAAATTTGTAATTGTTTAACTTTTCAGTTGTTATCGATTATGAGGATCAGGGTAACGTCATAAACAAAACATTGTTATATGACAAGCTTTTGTTGATATATTTCAACTTCATCAGGGCTAAATGACAAAGAGGAATTTAATTTATGAATAAAAACAATACTGACGGTAAATAGCAATATTTTTTTCTGAAATCACCTACTCAACAGGCAGTAAAGTTATTTATGTGTATATTAATTCATAGACAAAGGCATACATATATTTATATTATATATATAATATAAAACACAGAAATTAATTTTAAAGCTTAACTCCGTACTTTTAGAAGGAAGCTGAAAAATTAGTCCGTCTGTTTTATTTCACGTGTACATTGAACATATATATATGTCATTGGGTAAGTGTCCGTTTTAGTTATAAATATGTAATCGGCGCCATTATAATGTAACATACACCCAATAGCATTATTAACCTTTTGGCGTAAGTGAGTTCCCACAAAGTCATTACTATTATCATTCAGCTTTCAGTTTTATAAGTATAAATTAAAATCCTGTTTATTATCAAGCACTGTGTTGAAATATAGCAACCCAACTTTTTGACCTAACAAGAGTTTTGTTCCTGTTAATGACCTCACCCGATCCTCAAAATCATTATCTTTCACCCTGGTCAATTTCAAAAATTATTTTTAATTGTTATTATTTAACCTGTACAAATCTCATTATATTAAAAATAAACACGAAACTTCCTTTACATAGCGAGGGACAACAACAAGAAACTTAATTTAGGTGTAATAATTTATACAAAAAAAGCAAAATTGTATACAAATTATTTATTAAAAACTATTTATAAAGCATAAAATGCCCAAAACCAGACCTAAAGTAACAGGGAAAAAATATTGTTACACCCAACACTACAGAATATATGTCCTCATAAGTAAGAAAAATAAATCATTGGACGGTTTTCTGTTTTTATTTTTTCTACACAACTTGTACATTCCGACTGAATTGCATTCATTTTATTGTAGTATTTTTCTTATAATATTCTTAAAGCTTAATCTTATATTCCATATAAAGTATTCGCTATCCGATAAGAAAGAGCAGAACAACTGAATCTCTCAAAAATGGATACTGTCTGCCACACTTTTCAATATCGCGGTTAATGGCAAAGTTCAAGAAGACCAAGAGGATAGAGCAAACCTTTATCAACAGAACGATTGCAAATTACGAGAAGTTTTCTCCTTCTTTTAACGGAATTTCATCCTCGCTTACAATTCGACAATAAATTAAGAAAGCAACCGTAAATAAGAGATACTGAACTCCAGTGTGACAGGGGTCATAAACCTTTAAGATCCCGCTTAAGCTACAATTGAGGAGAGGTTCGAGAGAGGTTCTGATGTGTGGCTTCGACTCGGCAAGGAAACACGCAAACGATTAGGTACTATACTGCCCTCAAAAAAACCGTCCACCTGATTTTTGCACTACAAAATGGCCAACTTTGGAAATGCATGTTTTCTAAGCGGTGTAAGTCACAAACCTGTGCTCGGTTTCATTTTTTAGAATATTTTACGCTGAACAAGATGACTTCTTTAAATCATTTCCTAGCGTCAGTAAATTCAAAAATTAGGGAACATGTTAATTTTTGCACTTTTTACGAAAGCTTCAAACTGAGGAGCCAGAAAATCGTCTGGAGAGGCGCCTATATTAATCGATAGGAAATTTGAATAAGCCTTCAATTGGTCAGCTTCCACTTCGCCCGATTTCTCAACCGTTTAGGAGTTATTCGCAATTTTTTGGCAAAACATGTTTTTTGTACGTGCTACCGATTACCCCTGGTCAGTTTTTTATGGGCATTTTATAATGTAGGATCTAGCGCGTAGAAGAAATGTGCCTCAATTATTACGCGAACAAATGTGCAAAGCTCGATCAACAAAACCAACCCCAACTACAGAAACAGGTACGAACTCATGGGTGTCCCGTACCAGACTTTTGGCCAAAAATGTGAAATCCTTGATAGTAGATAAAATCTCTTTGGCAGAGACTCCCTATGCCCGGCCCAAGAATTCAGGCGAAGAACCTCCATTAATCGCAATTGAGAAATCGGATAACCCGAAGAATATCGAGTCCAACATACTGGCAGTAGGAATGAAGTCTGGTGAGTGAATTAGTAGTACTCTGTACTAGTAATTATTAGTACTCTGGGGCAGAATGAATGCTTCTTAGACTAACTTGTTTGCCAATGATATTTTTATTTTTTATTACATCTATATTTTTTCTATATTTTTATCGTTGACCTGATAGGCCCTGAGGTAGATAGGAGCTGGCAATAGGTTACAGAAATAAGAAAGGCAGTTGTTTTAACACGTAAAGTTTAATTAACATGTACATAATTGGCTGCATAATCAGAAAAATTATATGAAAAATAACGTCGCACTTTAAATATGCAATAAAAGTAAAGTAATACAATAAGAACTTTATTTAAAAAAGATTATTTTTTTAATTTACAAAAAATGTAAAATCCGCTTAGATATCTGAATTTCAGAACGAACTCTATTACTAGTTTGATACGTGTTAACCACATTAATCACCACGTTTAATAAAATAAAATAAATGTCACAGTTTTCTTTTGATTTTAGTTTAACTGAAAATTACAAATAAATAAATAAAATTCTTCCATACAAACAAGCGACAAAAACAAACTAATTCATTTATCAATATCTTTTCAGTTATTGTTATTATAATTGAATAGAAGATAAACGATTGTTAAAGAGCCATTAAGAGTAATAACACGTATAATGGAACAAGGTCACGTATGTTTACAAACCACACGAGATTTCATTTCGCTTTATTTTTTTTTATTTTTTTACTTTTTCCCCTCACCGTGATAAGGTTGAAAGCAGGAAAGTGGATTATAAAGTTGAACCCCTTGCCCGATCCCCGGCGGAGGTGTCACTAAAGGTAAACCGGGAGTTCGAATACGGAATTTTACGTACCCCCCGGAAAGGAAATCTCCCAACCGGAAATTTCCAACGATTTACAAACCACCTTTCTAACACACAGTTCGCCCTTCCAAGCAGTAAAAAATTAACCGAAAAACTCGACCATTTTCAATCTAGGTTCCTCATTTCAGTGAAGGCGTTAATACCAAGGTAAAAATGTTAACTCATATTTTCCACTTAGAATATTTTCTTCTAGTTCTCTTTTGTTGTATTCACTCCAACAGAAAGGGAACATCAAAAGGGAACTCATAACGGAACAAAAGTGGCATTTAGAGCCAACTTTGAAAACAAAAGGAAGCCTATATTCCAAAGGAAATCCCTGTAGGCTGGAATCAGCCATTCTTATATAAATCAGCTTATATAAGTTCATTTGTACGCTTCTTTCTTATTCGGGAATTTTTAACCGACAAAAATACAAGCTCTATTAAATAGTTGAAGAATGAACGAAGGACTTTAGGTTTAGCCCACCATTTAAACAAATTTGATCGCTTAATCTATCTGAACAGTTCAGATGAAATAATGTTTCTTGTGGTGATAAATACTACCAAGGCAAACACTGGCCATCGTGAAATGCTGAAATGCGTCTAAAAGACAACAAAACCAACGACAGCAAACTGTAGACAACGTTACGTTAAACAAAATCATATTTGATTTTGATATCCCAGCTCCAGAATCAAATTCGAATTGCGTAAATACGCGCAGTAATAAAACAACTAATCTAAATAGCATTAAACAAGGTTATTACTCATTGGATAAGTTGAGATTAAGGAGTCGGTCGACATGTGCAATTCCAGTCGGGGATGATAGTGTGGACTCAAGTGATTGTTCGAGGATTAACTGAAAGGCGTCCCCTCGGGATAATGGCGTGAGA